ACAAAGATAAGTAGCACACTTAGCAGATATTTCTGTATTGCGCAAGTGGGAAGCTCTGTTTTGGGGATTACGTCTCTTTATATCAGGCAACCCCGGTTGTGTTCCTCTGCGGCCAGATTAAACCTTGTTGTAGCCTATATATTATGCTCTATTCATTATTTTTTGAAACCTTGCACTTTTCTACTCCGTTTTAAAAGTTGTTCTTGTATTCAAATTAAGCGCGGTCCACTGCTGCACACGTGCCACAATATCGATACTGGGACAGCTGTATCGGTACTCGTATCGTCAAATCTCTGTGACGATACATCGTCGTATCGATGTATCGAACACAGCACTACTGCACACATCAAACACACTCAAATGTCTTGCATTCAGTACATGCAGTATGTCACTGTATGTACAAGTTTGGATTTGAGGGCCCTCATGCGTTTACGTTTAATAAGAGAAATTATTACTCTACCTACTGTATCTTCTATTCTTTCAGGAAAAACATGCACAAGCTTTATTTTTCTGTTATCTAAATTTCTTTTTTTTTCCTCACATTTTTCACATTTTAGAAAAATCTAATTTTTTATGTTTTGTCATATGCCTTTGCAGAATTTCAAAATTAAGCTTTCTTAAATCATGTTTCATATTTATTTTGTGTTTTTATATATATATATATATATATATATATATATATACAGGTGCATCTCAATAAATTAGAATGTTGTGGAGGTCCAAAGTCCTCTTTTCAGATGAGAGCAAGTTTTGTATTTCATTTGGAAACCAAGGTCTTAGAGTCTGGAGGAAGGGTGGAGAAGCTCATAGCCCACGTTGCTTGAAGTCCAGTGTTAAGTTTCCACAGTCTGTGATGATTTGGGGTGCAATGTCATCTGCTGGTGTTGGTCCATTGTGTTTTTTTGAAAACCAACGTCACTGCACCCGTTTACCAAGACATTTTGGAGCACTTCATGCTTCCTTCTGCTGACCAGCTTTTTGAAGATGCTGATTTCATTTTCCAGCAGGATTTGGCACCTGCTCACACTGCCAAAAGCACCAAAAGTTGGTTAAATTACCATGGTGTTGGTGTGCTTGACTGGCCAGCAAACTCACCAGACCTGAACCCCATAGAGAATCTATGGGGTATTGTCAAGTGGAAAATGAGAAACAAGAGACCAAAATATGCAGATGAGCTGAAGGCCACTGTCAAAGAAACCTGGGCTTCCATACCACCTCAGCAGTGCCACAAACTGATCACCTCCATGCCATGCCGAGTTGAGGCAGTAATTAAAGCAAAAGGAGGCCCTACCAAGTATTGAGTACATGTACAGTAAATGAACATACTTTCCAGAAGGCCAACTATTCACTAAAAATGTTTTTTTTATTGGTTTTATTTTATTGGTTTTTGTTAAATGTGAGCCAAAATCATCACAATTAAAAGAACCAAAGACTTAAACTACTTCAGTCTGTGTGCACTGAATTTATTTAATACACGAGTTTCACAATTTGAGTTGAATTACTGAAATAAATGAACTTTTCCACGACATTCTAATTTATTGAGATGCACCTGTATATATATAATACATTAAAAAATTAATAACTTTAAGAACTGTTATATTGCTTTTATGTAATTATTTTATGCAAATGTATTATTAAATTATTCATTATTTACTGTATTTACAGTATGAGTTCAAGTCCCCAAACTTGTATCCATGCAATATAAAATATCTTTTCGATTTATTTATATTTACAAAACAAGCAACGTAATACAGAATGCAAATCAAATCATATCCGTTTGCATTCTATGAAGAGGAGTTCACTCTGTGTGTTTATTCACAAAGTGTGGTAAACAGTCAGCCACCTTGGTTATTTATAAACGAATAAAGCTTGGGCCACGATCATGTGTTTGAAGAGTTGCGTCCAACAACTTTGGAACACATGGTGACAGGCAAATGTTTACTGGAAGAGGTGAAAGGCAAGCCACTCTAGCAGGTATGGGGTAAAGCTGGCAACCAACTCCAACAATTCCGCACATACATACCTGCTTGTCATTCTAGGCAGTTAAATTATTGGTTGTGAGAAACAGGGCAGTTGTGGCCAGCCTTGGTTGGATCTGTTTGTTTATTAGGTGCCCTCAAAACAATGTTGTGGCGTGGAAGGAAGACCTCTCCAGTTTCCGCCTCTGCTTACGAACTTGGTGGTAACCCGAGTGGGGTATGTGCTCATGTGCACCTGACCCTGATATGATGACCTCTGCTGGGTTGCTGGACACAAGAGCTGTGCTGCTGCAAGTGGCCCTCAGTACACTGCCATGCTATGACTCCTCACTTTCCAGACAATCCTCGCTATCTGCCCTCGGGAGAATGTTCTAACACAAACGTGTCTAGCACTCCACAGCATAGCAGTCTGGCTCACTTAGATCAATTTGGGTATAGAAAGCACCCTTAATGCATTACATTTCTGATCATGTTACCATTTTGTTGTGCTGAAAAGATTCATCACACCCATGTGGCCTTGAACCACCTTCAGGAACTAGGTACTCGAGATTGACATCCTTAAAATGTACAGTCAATAGTTCAGCGTATTGAATTAGGTCTTTCATATGTAAGTGGACACACTTGAATGGAGCTTTTATGGCTGCAAAAATGGCTTGAGTGAGTGTTCAGAACTTTAATCGTTGTGATGCAGACAGTCATTTTAAACCAGCATCAAATGCGATTGGGTGAATATGTTTAAAAATGTGTGAAGGCTTCAAACAGTCTGTCTGTAGTTCATTGTGGCTTCAATATTACTTCTGCAAATACTGTTTCCTGACCTAGGGCCGTCAATATAAGGAAAAAAATAAATCAGTTATTTCTCATTTTCATTTTTCAAGTGCTATAAAATGTAACAATATTTATAGTAATTATGTTTTATAGTACTTGAAATAAATGAAAATTAGAAATAACATAGTTCTACAAATTATATAAATAACTAGTATTTTATAGTACTTTTTATATTTATAATAATTTTTTATATTTTATAGTACTTAAAATAAATGACTATTTGCAATAACAGTTCTACATCTTTTTATATTTTATTTTAAGTAAACATTTTTTTCAAGTTTATTTTTACATATATATATATATATATATATATATATACACGCACACATACATACACATATATATACACACACATACACACAATGTTTTGATTCGTTTTTATTTCTTATTTTATATATATAAAATATATGAATCAGTTCAAAACACTGATTTAATGATTCATTCTTTAAATCTGTGTTTTGAAGCATTGTTGATATCTTTCTCTCTCTCTCTCTCTCTCTCTCTCTCTCTCTCTCTTCATATTTTTATCAAAAGTATGTTTTGATTCAAATCTTAATTGTCGATGCACATTCTTCATCTTTACTGTTGACTAAATAAAAACATTCTTTATTGACCATTTTCATTAGTAATTTAACTGACAAGATTAACCCTAACTAGCTTTTGGCTACAGAATAATTGCTATTAAAACGCTATTTTATTGCGCTAGTGATTGCAAGTCTTTAGGAAACTAAATTAGCAAATAAACACAATGAAATTATTGATATTCACAGTTTGCCAATTCATTGTAAATATATCATGAATATTTCATATATCCAGCCCAGCTCTCTCCCAGTCAGAGCTGGTTGGGTGCACTTTGTGTTATTTGACAGACATGCGTAAAAGGCTTGCCGTGCCCTCGCTGACCGGGCCTCCCGAGAGCCTTGACCAATATGGGGCCCATTGTAAATAGGGGTTAAACAGGGCTAACGATCAAAGAAAGGCATACCAGTGGAAAAGCCTGGCTAAATATAGATTTGGAGTCTGGAGTAAAAAAAATGGGCAGTGAAACTTGTCTTCCTGCCAGGGACCTGAACAGCAGTGAGGCCAGCCTCCCCTGTGGCTACCAGGCTTATATTTTAAATGTGCTATAACGCATGGCTAGTTTGATACGCTGGCTTTTTTTTCCACAGTCCCTCAATATGCTCACCCATATGCTTCATTTTCACAGCCTAGATAGACTTGAAGTGGGTTATTGGGGGTTTTTATGTCTGCGGCTTCATGATTTTTTTTT